ACGATAGACGGTTCAGATCAAAAGGGGATGAGTATAAATAACCTCATTCACACTAAACCCTAACTCTAGCCACCATAACCACTTGGCCGTAGAAGAAGATTCAGCCGCCGGAAGGAGGCTGCCGCCACACCGGAGCCCTTTTCGATCGCCAAAAGAGGTAAAAAAAATTTTCTTTACTCGGAATTCAATTTTAAATATCTTTATGGCTAAATCAGAGTAAAAAGACCAATCAATTGACCAAAATTGCGGGTAAAGCCCGACAGCATCACCGCTAGGAATTTCACGAAATGCCTCCGATGAGGCCATTCCTGATTCCCCTTCGGCGTAATTTTTTTACTATTGTGATCACTGTTTCCTTCTCTACAGGTTGACCAGAGCAAAATACCAATCGCAACGTGAGCCGGAGGAACCGCCGCACCAGAGAGTCCTGCCGCTGGTGAGTTTCGATTTTTAAATTTTTTTTGTTCAATCGAAACCTCTTAACGTATTTTCTAGCAGGGATTGATGCAAAATTAGCCGAAAACAGCCGACCTGAGGTGGATTGCCACCATGGGCGGTGGCATCGTCGCCGAAGCATAGCAGAGCTGCCGTGCTGGAATTCCAGAACTGGCAAAAAATGGGCACCAAGACTAATTTTGGATTTTTTTTAGACATTTGTAGGTACTTATAGCGCGTTTAATCCAAAAAAAAATTAGGAAACTTGGGGACCGCCAGTAGGCGCAGTCAACAGTTTAGTTTTTCGGGCATTAAATTGAGTAAGAATTCTCACTTTATTTTCTGTTATGGAATTGAAGTCAAATTAACAATAATACGATATTTTGTACCATTTAGAAAATATCTATAATTAATTACAGGTTACTAATGGAGTCAGAGCCAGAAATTATTCTCTGTTGATTTATGTCGATTTATTTTACAATTTGAATCCATAATAATATCTCATTTATCGATTTTATGATTTTGAATGCATGTATTGCTGTTAAATTAGAAAACCGATATATAATTGCATTCCTTGATGTATGTTTGTTTGTTTATGTGATTACGGTTGAATTGGAAGATGGAGACTAAAGAAAAATGAAAAATTATATAACTAAGTGAATAGATGAAACGACATGCTTACTGGATATTCTAGGACCGGGTACAATAGGAAACCCTACCGTGAACGTTGTCTCATACCGGACGGAGTATGGGAACGGTCCGTTAATTGATAATGTTAAATGAAAGGGTTCACGCGTAGTAAGGACATCCCTATGAACCCCCATGGATACCAGTAGGCTGATGGAAAGGAATAGTTGTTATTGAATATAAATTTATAATGTGTGCATGTTACCGATTGTATATGAAATCATGATAAATGCTTGTTATTATTTCTATAGGTTGTTTTTATAAATCTCGCTGTAGTAAATGTATGGTAAATGGTTTTATTATTAATAAATATTTTTTTAATTAAGTGCTCCATTAGTTGTTTTGATTTTCTACCAACCTTCATTTCCGTGTCGGTGAGTATCGTGATATTCTTACTGGACTAGTGTAGCTCATTTCTTATTTAACCATTTTAGATCAAAAATATCGGGATCCAGAGTCCGATCCACAAGAGAGTTGCGAGTAGGATACCAGTTTTATTTATTTTTCATTTATTTCCTTACTTTTTTTGTATTTCTTTCAAAAAGGTAATCTCCGTAGCACTATTTGGGATTTTAAGTTTATGTGTAAGGAGTGTAAACCCTAAACTATTTATTTCGTTTCTGCTCTAAATTCATAATTTATTTTCTTTGAATATTCCGGAGTCGTTACAATAATACTAATTATTTTTTAGTAATAACAATCTTTTTGAAGAATTACCAACTTTATAATTATAATACTCTCTTAAAATTTTTAAGTTCATATGAACCTTTTACTGCTAGGTATTCAATCACTTCAATATTTTATGAGAATATGATAAAAAAAAAATTTATTGTTTTATTATTATTACTGTATCTTCGTAACATAAAATATTTAAATAAATTTTAGTATGGAATGTTTATCATCCGGTTTACAGCCTACAATCAATTCTTTTTGACAAACATATACTTAACAATACTATTTTGGTTCTCCACTTGTAAGATAATATCTTACTCTATTTGAGTAAATAGATAATATTTGCTTCAAGAGAAAAAAATATACAACTCAAAAGCTTTAACGACCTCAGAAATTCAAAAGGAAATATGTATAATAATTTGAGTGCGGAAGCGAAATAAAAGATTTAGGTTAATATCCCTTACACAATAACTTAAAAGTACTAAACAATATCAAAGAATAAGTTCTCTAAAGGAAATACGAGAAATGAGAAAAATAAAGAAAACTATGAGATATCTAGCATCTACTTGCTGTCTTCTTGTGGATCGAGTTCAGGAACCAGGTCTTCCTGATATGAAATGGTTAAATAAGGAATGAGCTACACTAACCCAGTAAGGACATCACACTAATCATCGTCACAGAAGTAAAGGTTGGTAGAAAACCAAAAACAACCAATTGAGCACAAATTTTAAATCAATACAATTATTTAAAATAAAACCCCTTACCCTTGGAGAACCTGTGAAAACAACCTATAAAGACAATAACATCATACAGATCACAATTTCATGCATAATCAGTAACATAAAATACATCATAAATCTGTATTCATTAACAATAATTGATTATCAGCGTTTCTCATTTTTACCAGCCTATTAGTATCCATGGGGATCCATAGGGGTCCCCGCTACACGTGAATCATTTTCCTTAACAAACTTAATTCCAGAGCCGTCCCCATACTCCGTCTGTTATGAGCACCAAAACAATAAACCTCAATAACCCGTCCGGTATGAAGGTGAAGCGGGTCGTCCCCATATTCCGTCCGCTATGAGTGCCAAAACAATAAACTTCAATACCCCGTCCGGTATGAGGGTGAAGCGAGCCGTCCCCATACCCCGTCCGGTATGAGCGCTAAAATAATAAAGTCTCCATACCCCGTCTGGTATGAGACAACGTTCACGGTAGTATTTTCTATGAACCCGGTCCGTTCACCATCTCTCAGGATATCTAGTGAGGCTGTCATCTTATCCATTTATCAAATCACACCCCTTTCCTATTTTTCCTTAGTCTCCGTTACCAACTCAAACATGAATATATAAACAAATAACGTGCATCCAACAAAGCAAGCATATCTTAGATTCCCAAAATCAAATAGTAGTGAGGTAAGCAGTGATACATGCATTCAAAGCCATAAAATAAATAAACCAGATACCATAATATATTTAAACTGTAAAATAAATCAAACAGGAATTGACAGAAAAATATGTCTAGTTCGAGCTCCATTAGCAACCATAATTAATTATGCATATCTACTTAATTTGTTCAAAATATAGTATTATCATTTATTCAGACTTCAATTCTATGATAGGAGATCGGGTGAGGGGTCATTACCTGATCTAACGCCGAAACCTAAATTTTCACTGCGCCTACAGGTGATCCCTAGGTTCCAAGAATTTTTTCATGGGAACTGAAACGCGCTTACGATACCTACACATGTCCCAAATAACCCAAAAATCAGACCCAGAGCCTACTCGGCCAATTTCAGAATTCTAGCACGGCAGTGATCCGCCTCGGGTTGGCTGTTTTCGGCCGTTTTCGATCGAATTCAGCCAAACTTGCATCGGTTCTTGTGAAAAAACACACTTAGGACCCTCGGTGGGCCGAAAAAATACAGAAAACTGAAACTTACCGGCGGTGGGGCTCTCCGGTGCGGCGGTTCCTCTGGCTCACGTCGCGGTTGGGTGTTTTGCTCTGGTCAACCTGTAGAAGAGGAAACGGTGATCACAAAGGTAGAAAAATCACATCGAAAGAGAATCGGAAAGAGCCTCATCGGAGGCAAAAACTGAGACACCCCGCGGCGACCCCGCTGGGTTTCGGCGGCGTTTTCTGGCCAATTGACCGATGCTTTCGCTCCGATTTGGCCATAGGTCAGTTTAAAATTGAATTTTGAGCAAAGGGTAGAATTTTTACCTCATTTGGTGGCCGAAAATTGCTCCGGTACGGCGGCGGGTGGCGGCGATCGGCTCCCCGGTGGCTGGGCTGTCTTCTCTAGCTAGGGCTCTGGCGAGTAGGGTTAGGGTTTGGGTGCAGATGAGATTATTTGTAACCATCCACTTTTGATATGGGCCGTTCATCGCGATTCAATCTGGACCGTTCGATCGCGATTAAATAGGAAATGAATATGGGCCGTCCGTGCGCGTGGGAACGGATCTCAGCCGTTTGATCACGCGGATTGCTCACGTGGCTCCCTTATGCGTGGTCTCCTGCGTCAGCGTCTCTGCCACCTGGTGCGTCCTGGTTGACCGGGGCTGCTGACCGGGCAGCTGACGTGTCGCAATTTTTTTAAATTGCGTTTTGACCTCTTGTTTTCGATTTTTCTTTCAAAAATATCATCAGAACCCAAATTTTCACCATTTTTTTCCAAAATTATTTTCAATTAAATCTCTAAATAATTTTTACCTATTATTATTATTATTATTTCTATTAAATTATATTATATTATATTATATTATATTAATACTTATTTATATTTATATAGAATAAATTAAAATAAAATAAAATAAAATAATAAAGAAAATAAAAAGGAATTCTTGGGTGTTACAGAGTAAATAGATAACATTTTCTTCAAGAGAAAAAAATATACAACTCAAAAGCTATTTAGAAACTGAAAACATACATATATCATGCATCTAGGATATATATGTATACTATTACTTGCTAATCATTGGACTTACAGAAAGAATGATTAGACCACATTAATGAATATAGTCACAAGGGGATGCATGGCCATATCTGCAGACCATGGGCAATAAATTAAAGAAAAAACCGTGATCATATCTGAAACCAACATGTGACCGCTCAAATTAAACAAACTTAAGAAAAAATTTCAAAAAGCCCCTAAAAAAAGAAATAAAACAAACCTAATAGTACTTCATCAAGGTTTCAATATACTACTTAATGTCTGATGAAGATACTGGGGCGGCCACAATATTATCCAAACTGGTCATGTATAGAGGTTGATCACTGTTATCAAATTGGCTAAGACAGTCGAGTGGAGAAAGATCAGAATCGATAGTCATGTCTAGGAACGTCGAGTCAAGGCTAGAGAAATTAGAAAAATCAGCTAACTCTTCATTCTTGAAGCTTCCTTTCATGGGAAAGGGATATGCAGCCATGGAATGATGATCAAGTAAATTAGAATACTGATCAAAAGGCATCTGAGGAAGCATGATGTTGTTGTGAGAATCCATGGACTGATTATACATCTCAATTCTGGAATATTGGTTAAGCACCATGTCATTATCGTTGTAAGTTGTACTGGCAGCAATAGACATGTTGTAGACATTAGATGGCATCAGAGTGATCTCAGCTACACCATTTTCAATTGGAACTTGAGAAGTATAGTTGTTTTCAAGTTGATTGTTTGGCTTTTGCAATCCATTTTGATCTGAATTAATGTCATCATTTGCAGCATCTTGTTGACGACTTGAAACTCTATTGCTATATTTTTTAGTCTTTTTATATATCCTACATAAAACCCAGCCATCAAGCTGCAAAAAGGGAAAGAAAATCATATAAATATTAGGTTTGTAAAGAGGAAATTTTAATTAAAAGAAGTTTTTTAGTACCCTCATGCTGTTTTCCCCTCTTTTCTTCTTGGAAGGATTACTGACCCCCTCTTGATCTTCACTTTCCTTGAAATTATATTCGTGCATGATCCAGTCAGTCTTACTACCGGCTTGTGCTTTACCACGATAAAACACCAAAGCCCTTCTCGACCCCACCTCTTTCTCGCCTTTGAAAATACGTTTATCGCCTCCAGTAGCTTTCCAGTAGCCATCGCCAGCGGCTCGATTTGGTCGGTCACCATTGCGGTACTTCCGGTCTCTTGGACTAAAAAAGTACCACTCTTTCTGATGCTTTCCAATTGTGGCAAACTTAGCTGTTCAGAAACTTCACATAATCACTATCATTAAGGCAACAAAAGATTTAAGTAGAAGATATATAATTTTACAATGAGAAAGAGGAACTTTTGAAAATTAAAACGAAGCTTTAACCTCCGGGAAAGATGAATATTTTATCATCAGTCTTTCAATGAGGCGAATAATACACACATATTCCGCCTTGAATGCAAAAGGGTAACCATTAAATTCAGAAAAAAAAAAAAAAAAGCAAAAACACCAAGAGAACCATTGAATTCAGCAAACTATACAGAACCATTGATTTCAGAAAGCAAATTACGAAAAAAACGCCAAGAGAATTTATGCTATGTATCAGATTTAACCATTGAAACTAGAAACAAAGCAAAAATACAATGAGGATTTATGTCATATATGTGTATATATTAGATTTAACCGCTGAATTCAGAAAATAAACAAAAAAAAAACCCAGAAATATTTATGCTGCAACGTATCAAGTTCAAAATCAAAGAGTACGTATATCAGATTAATTCAAAACTAAAAGGTAAAAAAATAAGGTGTCTGTATGTATGCGTACATGTGTGTTTGTAAATATACATATATATATATATATTATGTGATAATGTATATACAGAACCTGCAAGATCATCAGGGCTAAACTTATAGACTTCAACGTCCCTGATCACATTGGGGGGAAGCCTCATATTCTTGACTTTTGGTCGTAAATAGTCAAAGACAAGTTCTTCATCGTTGGGCTTGAAGCGGTAACCAGAGGGGAATGAAGCAAAATAAACCTCAACGTCGCCATAGTTGTAAGTCTGATCAGCATGGCTGACAAAACCCTTGCTGGCCGCTGCGGAAGAATTAGAACCACCGTGCATTGCGTCTCCTGGACTGTTGGCACTGGTTTTACTTGCTGCAACCTCCCGGTTTAGTTGCTGGTGGTTCTCCATTGTTGGACTCTTTGGAGCTTCTATTTAAAAACAAATAATTTTGGCGGCGAGAGGGTTGGTTTGGTGAATTATATTATATACAGGGCACAGTCAGAATTTTTTAATATTATTTTTTAAACAGCAGATAAATTAATTAAATTTTTTAATATTATTTTTTTACCAACAGATAAATTAATCGAATTTTTTAATATTATTTTTCTACCTGCAGATATATTAGATTTATTTGAATTGATAATGGATGAGATTGATATCTTTTTCTTAATAAAATATTGTATTTCTTTATCAAAGACGATAACTATTATATTATTGGTTTAATTATATAATTATATTCATTACCATCCAAAAATAAAAATAAAATCTTTAAGTAATAGGTCTTACAAGTATAATATAAATACATACGAAAATTGTTTTGCATCTATATGTGTATTAAATCACCCACGGATTCTTTTTTTTTTTTTTTTTTCTTCTTCTTTTTGTAATGATAATAGTTATTATTATTATATCAATTGATGGTCTTTAAAATTGAATTTATCATATTTTTATAATAAAAATTGAGGAATAATTATATTAAATGTTAAAATTATTCGTAAATAAGTCATTTTTAATATTTAATTTAATTTTAGTTTCATTAGATTCATTACAATATTATTTGTAAATTTTGACATGAATGATCTTATTAGAGTGGACTTCAAAAAGTCTTAACACATGGATGTTATTTCGATAATATTCTAACTCTAAAAGAAGCAATAAAAATCAACAGTGAGTAAATATAAAAATCTATAAATTCATTTAGTTATCACTTATTATGTTGCTTGGTTCATATTAGTAAGAGCATTCATATGGATTTAAGGTATTATAGTTAGTTTTTTAATAAACATTTATATATTTCGTTTGTTAGATAATATTTATATATCAATAATAATATATATTTTTTTTAAAAAAAGAATACATGTAATACAGCCTTCAAATATAAATACGTATGATCCACAATTCATATTCGGATTGTCACAGATAATGAGAGAAATACCTACCCATGTTGCTTTTAATTACAGTAAAAATTGTTTTGCAGATAATAAAACAACTGAATTTTGGTGATAATAAAATCACTAAGAAACATGAAGAAGAAAACTAAAAAATTCTTTAAGGGACATATATATGTGTATTAAGTGACAAAAAGATTCATAATTATATAACATGCTTTCACCTCAATAAATTAAAGATCATTCCCGATAAAGACTGTTATTTTGGTGCACAATTGTTGCATGAAGTTTTTAAAAAAAAAAAACAATTCTCAAATTGTGAGCAATGAGATTTACAAAGCATTGCAAATAGAAAGAAAGACAATCAATTATACATACTACTATCTTAAACTAACTGCTAAATCAAACCAACCAAACAACTCACAAACTATTTTTGTCATTGAAAAAGAGATATCCCTTTCATTAACTGAAAATATAAATATAATGTCAAATATTAGAAATAAAGATTGAATTTTTATTTATAAGAACTAGATATTAATGTCATAGTTTACAGAAAAATAAATAATTTTTTATTATATTGAATA